ATTCATTGTGTAGCCAATACATCCTTAATTTATTGACTTTGCTTTGTGCAAATCTTGGACAAATGTCGCATCGATTTATGACAAGAAATTCATTAATGCAATCGAGAGTCGATCGAGTTTGGCTAATGGTTCAATTAATTTTGGTCGGATTATCTGGTTTCGAAAACGGACAGGGAGGAAGAATACCCCCGTGGTCGGGACATTACGTAATATAATGATCTGGTAATCGGGCCGGCGTGAATTCGCGCGAACGGCCGCAAATCTCTGCTACGTGACGAATTCCGCGGGCACCGGGTTTTGTTTGACCGACGCGTACTACGTAGTACGTTAAGCTCGGTGGCATTAGGCAGACAGCTACGATCCATCCAGCTTGCGTCAGTCCGACCCCGCTATAAAACTGTCCACACCTTTTTATTTAGTGTTGCACACACGAAATTATACGGTATTTTCGAAAGGTCATGCCTTCATTTTTTAACAAGTCGTCCGTTGTATTATTTCATTTTATGTTCACTACTCCACGATTTAAATACTGTTTTAGGGAGTCTTCTGTTGTCCGGTTAAAAAGAGTTTTTACCAAGGATCGTGGAAATTATAATTGTCGTTAAACGGTGAACGAAAAAAGGAAGTAGACGAGTTACATGGTGCATGAACAGGGGTAGCAGAGGTCTAGGCAATTAAGCGGATCTCCCTGTTACTTCCTCTTCCTTTTTGCGTTTTGGTCGCGTGACTTTCCGCTCGGGGCGAAACCGAAACGCAACAATAAGGGTTTCCTCAGCCGTGAGAATGTTCCTCTCGTTCCATTCTACCGTGAAACTCGATTCGATTCTCGTTGTGGATTTTTTTTTTTTCATCGTGAACGAGCTGGAATTTCTGGCAAACCGATCAAAATACCACCCTCTCCGCTCGCACGTGCTCCCCCTTTTCTCTTCCGTGAACCCATTGTTACTCGAGTAATTCCATTCTCGAGTAACGAACTGGAACTATTGATGAATCGCTCCATCGTCCCGTTACCGTGCGAAAAAAGCTTCGCGGCCGATCGTTCATTCGTTTTGGTCGAAGTAGCAGAAGTCCTGAGATCTGTTCATTGATTCCGAGGATTCAAGTTTTTATCGCGTGCAGCAACAGGTATGATTCGTAGAAATTCCTCGTTGAAAGGGATTCGAAGGGTTAAATCTGCAAACTCGATATTCCAAATCGAAGGCGAGAGAGCCCACTTGGACGCGTGCGAGAAATTGATCCTCTCAAGGTCCTCGAGGTTCGGCTTAGGATTTGAAGTGGTTGACGAGGCATTCGTCAAGCCGGTATCGGTAGCGATCGTGAAAAGTCGAGTGCAAAAGAAGCAGTCGCAAAAGGCAAGAAGAGGGTCGGGATCGAGGAGGCGGTGACCAATAAGGTCGCCGGAGAACGGATAAGAGTCCCCGGACTTGGAGAACGATGGACCGCCTCCCGGGGCCCGTTCCGCGGGCCCGCCAATAGCTTCGCTCTTTCCTTTTAATATGCGAACTCTCGCCGCCGTTCGATCGCCACTCTTCTAATGAAAAAAACGAGAACCACTAGCTACTTACTGGCTAGGTGTTAGATTCCTGGTCTCCGCTTTGCACGCTCCCTTTGGGGCATTCGGGGTGTGCGAGTCAAGGTTAATTAGCTGCAGAGAATTTCTCAGGTTCAGTCACTGGAGTGGTACAAATAATGTTCCAAGTTCTCTTAGGAATCGTTAAGGAATGTCTTTGCATTCCTTATTCATATTTTTATCTTTATAAAATATAACTCTTTGTCAAGTCCGTATTAATCGACTCAGTTAACTTGGTCCGCTGACTAAGCCATCTAAGATCCTGCAGGAAGGAACCTAGGATGTAGCACACGTGGATGGCAGAGGAGTGGCGAACTTAAACGTACGAGGACGATGTCGGACAACGAGGGTAGAGAAAGGGTCAACGTCGTGACTTCGGTGTGCCCGAGTCGGAAAAATGCAAAAAGGAGCCACTGTAACTTGAACAGGGCCACCGTATCACGTGACTTTTGCTTCTTCTCTTCGTTTTCGAGATTTTGCATACGATTTGTAAATCAGTCGAGCTCCCTTTCATAGGATTTTCGCTGTTTATCATTGTCAAACGATTGGCAATATCTGGAACGATGATAATGATTCCACTACCGTAATTTCTGTAAGCAATGTAGTCTAACGACTGGATAAAAGTCTGGTTTAACAAATTGATTTGTTATCGAAGAAATCTGTTAGCATCGTTGCTATTCCTGGCGTGTTTAAGATCGATTGTTACGGCGCGCATCTCATTAACGGTGAGGATAAACAGGGAAGCGGCGAGGGAGAAGAGCCGGCCGTGGTAGGGTTATCAAGACATTATTGCGATCCTTATACGCATAGATAATGGTCGTTGAGCACAACGTGTGCCGTGCGGTTGCCGGATTAACGAACCTATTCGTTGTTTTTGTCCTGCCGGGATGAGATTCGCGTGTTGGCAAGCTCGTTAAGAAGCCGCGCTGTTTTGTGTAACGAGGTTTTTGCCCGATTGGGTAATCGCGCGGCCTGATCGGGAACGAACGCTGATTTCTGTTCCGCGCGCCACGGGCCTAGCAAAAATTGTCGGGTAAATTCGATTGCCGAGAGCGAGAACCGGATAAATGGCAACAGAACCATTTAGCTTCTGGATGATTTACTGCCGCGATAAGGGAGATAAGAATCGCGAAGGAGTCCCGATTCCCACGGTGTTTCGCGGCTACAAATTATCGAATACCCCGCGCGATCCGAGAACGACGGGGATTTGTGATCCGACTACAAAATCTACACGTGCGCGCTGACTACCGCCTTCCCCGTCTGCACACTTTCACCCGTGTTCTTTACGATATGTAACCAAAATGTCGCGTTCTCCAACCAGTTTCAAACAATTAGAATAATCTAAAGAAACACAATAGCCATTTTCGCTCGTTTGTTGCTTCGCGGACTTGCATTGTACGAGATGTAGCGTGAATCATTGTGTCAATTGCTATGTCGATCGTCGCATCAATCGTCGTACGAATCGTTGCACCGAGTATCGTATTGAGACCCTCGCTGAAAGTCGGATGTTTAGACGAGATCCAAAAATTTGGAGGCAGTCAGTTTCCTCGGTACGGTGGGTCCGTCGTTCTCTGCCTACCGACCGTGCATACGTATCTGTTAAGTCGACGTAATACCACGGGACCGCATCATTATGTACTCCATAAGTCTCCGGGCCCTATCGTCTCTCCTCGTCTCGCTGTATATCTGAACTCCCGTTTAGCAAAAAAGGAGACCAGAAAAAGAGGTTCGGTGCAGAGAAACAGGGGGTAGAGAGACGACGAAGGAATATGGAGCCTTCTTGTACCCGGATACACTGGCTGCGAGCCCTACACTACTCCCACCCCGTCCTCCCGAGACCGAGAACACGGCGGTGGGGATCGGATGCTGGCTGGAAACTCCGGTGTGGCGTTCACCAGGGCAAAGAAAGAGAAAAAGACGGGGTAGGGGCAAGAACTCGAAGAAGGGGTCTCAGTTTTTCGCTCAGGGTCAGACCCGCCGTGATAAACTGACAATCTACTCTATGTACAAGGTCTAGAGACATCGTCGTTTCGCGGACCTTAAGTGGAAAACCCGGATACTGGAAAGTCGAACGAAAAATGTTGATAGTAAGATATAATTGGAGCGGAATTCCTTTTATCCTTTGAACCGTACGCGTTCCGGAGTAAAGTACACGCGTGAATATTGCATGAGAGCATCTTCCCTATTCGCGCCGCTCACTGTTACACGAGTCGCTCCAGATTTGGGAGAAGTTGGATAGGCGACGACCAATTTCGTAAAGCATCGAGGCTTCGCGTTTGGTAATCCGGAAGTGATTACGCTGGTACGCCGACGGTATCGGCTGACGCGACATATATTCGCTACGTTCTTTGAATACCCGATCGCGGCCGAACAGATGAACCTCGGGCTCGTTCACCGAAGGACAAACATGGAAGAGTTTTCGCATAACTTTTGCGCAATCCAATGACGTCGTCATTGATCGACACGTGGCACTGTTTTCTCCTCCGTTTAGCAGCCGCCAAAAAGCGGCGTGCCTCGCGAAGTCTCGCCCCGAAAATTTTGCCACGTTTGTTAACATTAAACGAACAATCGTGTCGCCGGCTCTGAATGATCATAAACGCCTGTATCTTTGCAGATCCGACGAGGATGATCCCAGCGGGTGTAAATATAGAAGGCTGGAGAACGAGAATGTACAGGACAAAGAGAGATTTGCGAGGTGAGTGTCAGGCTCGACGTACAGTAACGTTGCATGGTTCTTCTTCGTCTCACGATAAATGAGAGGGGTCGGTGAACGGGTTAAACGTCTCTTATTTTTTTCTCTCCCGGAAAAATGCATCCTTAGCCGCGAGATTTTTTGCGAAAAGAGATCATTTGCATACTCGACGCTCGGGTGTTTCGCTGAAAATTTCCAGGATCCCGCGAGCGAAGAATTTATCTTTAAATCCTGATAAGAAATATCATTACGAACGAAGAACGCGATCATTTATCTAGAAGATATACGTATCTGTACAAACGTGTTTTTAAGCTTGTGCGCGGAGGATCTTCCTAAAAATGATTTGAATGAGCCACGGCACGGTTTCTGGAGAGGTAAAAAAAAAAAGAGAGGGTCCTCTTCCTGATAGCCGTGGAGACGGCATTGTTAATTCGTCTCACGAAATCGTGGTCCAATATGTTCCGGCGGGTACACCCTGTACATGGCCGGGCGAGTACGAAGATACATACATACCTACATGATACTACCCGCCAATGTGAGTCGATAGCGGAATGGGAAGCCCTCCAGGCTGCTCCAGCGTGGGAACACGGGGCCCACTTATACATACGTGCGCACCGTTCGCATAAGTCGAAGACACACCGGGCATCTCCGATCCCGCGTCGCGATACTCGCGTTGACACGTCCGAATCCGCGAAATGATATACGACGACCAGAGGATATTACGACTATTCTTCGGAAACTCTTTAAAGAGAGACGAGTTTGAATACAGAGTCCATTGGACAAATGCGAACAGTATGATGTTTTCATCTCCACTGCTGACAGAAGAATCTCACGAATATGATAAAAAAAAATCAAACGAGAAAAGACTAAACTTCTTGACTTGATTTAAGATAGAATAGAATAATTCGCGTAACAGGAGTTTGCTGTATTTTATATGTATTCGCTCTGACAAGAAGGAAAGTACGAAGGAGCGATTGCAGCCACCGTACGTTTCATGGAAAAGTTGTGTCGCGAGCGGGGAACCTTACTTTTAACGTAATAACGCAATTACCGCCTCCCGCCGCAGGCCTCGCCGACCAACCCTTTCATCCTCTTCCTCCGGCTCGTCTTGGGCTCGTTTTCTTCCCCCTTTCCTTACCTTCGTGGTTCCGTGTGCCGTTTTCGGCGCGACGAGATATAATAGAGAAATATTCGAAGACCTTTCCTGATGGAAACGGTTCGCGAGCTGGTCATTAGATTCTATTATCCGTAATGCCAGCTCTTACAATTGTAATGGAATTAGAAGACAATTTTGGTTAAGAGCAGTGACAGAAAATAGAATCGTCGTTACTTTAGAAAAAAAAATTAATCGTCTCTTCTGTCGGTCTACGAGACTGAGAAATAGTTTGCATATTGAAACTTCCCTTGGACAATTTATGGTCGGCAGTAAACTCACGGAAAATTTATAGGTCGCTCGTCAGGGTTGTAACGTCTTCCTTTGAAAATGATTTAAGCAGAAGTCGAATTAGCCACATTCTGGCACTCTGTTATTTTATAGATTTAAAGAATTTTTCGAAGACGACGACCTACCTTCGGTGAATCGTGCACCTGACGCATTAGCATGGTGAATATTAAGATTTGGCATAAATCACGCGGCTGGTTAGCATACGTCGGGATATATTCGATAACGAATAGGATCGGCATTAAACGGTCCTCGATCGATTCATAATTCATTTCATTGTTCGCCGGGGTCGGAGTTTAGAAGTTCCATCGGGATACACGCGGTCGTTAGACGAATCCATAATTCACGTGCGCGGACGTTGTCATTTATACGATTGCTACACGGTATCGATGATGATCCGACTGATCTCCTTTCTTATATGTACGTGGAGGAACTCGTTTTTTTCCCCCCTCTTAGAACAATTTCATGTGTGCGCTACGTGCATCTCAGTGCCGACTTTGATGTACAGGGTGGCTGTATAATCTCGTGCAATTTGCAACGCTTCGAATCTGCGCAGTTAGACTCGTTTGTTCAAAATAGAGATAAACATATTGAGATACAAGAATGTGTTCGACGAAGTCATCGTTCTTAATTGAATTTAAGCATGCGAATCTGAACGATACCGCGGCAGAAGTATACTGTGAATAAAGCAGTCGGATTCTGGAATTTGCTTCGTGGCGAAGTGTTTGGAAAAAGGGACAAAGGGAACAGAGAAATATTGTTGCAGAGAGTTTTAGCATAGAATACGAGTGGTATCGCGAGCGAGCACCCTGTATAGCGCTCCCTGGACCCAACGGAGCCGAGCGGGCAACTTCGGAACGTCTGACCCTTGACCTAGGAGGCTCTCTCCGTCCTGCTCGCGGTCGAACGCCCTTCTTTCTCCCCCCGTGTTCTTCTACCGTTCTGCACAGTACATACTCTGTTTTATACTTGCGCTTTAAGCGCCCTGGCCTCTTTTAAATAGCGACTCCGCGTTGCCTCTCGAGGGCAGCGTTTCCCCCTTCGAAATCGAAGATCCTCGAGCGACTTTGCTGCTGGAATATTAAACAATAAGACTTCTATGGCCATAGAACGTTGCTCAAGTCTCTTGTACGAAGATATGTGGAACACCGATGATTTAGAGGCTCGTAGAACGATTTTTCTTGCACGGGGTGGACGTCCTGCACGCGGAACTTCGCGAGAGGTCAATGTTCACGACACGAAGACATCAACCTCCGCGTCAACATCAGCAATATTTCACTTTACGGTTCTTGAGCGAAACCAGGGATATCGTTGACCGAAACTGGCTACGAGCAGATTGGGAGAGAGTAAAAATATTCTAGCGAAAATAATCTGTTCTGAACGTCGGATTCGACAAAGAGAAAACAGAGTGGAGAATGATCGCATCTAGAATCGGTTTGCAGGAGAATCCGAAGCTGGAATAAGCATGAGAGGTATAATAGTTCCTGATGGACCCGGGGAACGAGATGGAGGGTCTTATCTCGCGGGTAGTCGCAAAAGGAAGTTACTCTGTACCCCGTAGCCGAGAAAGAGTCGCGATAGCTGCGAGAGCCAAGGAGAGAAACATCCCGGATACGAACCGGGACTAGAAAATAAACGAGTTCATTCATGTATTTCAGATTCCCTTTAATCTCACCGCCGCGAAACAATCTGGCGGTTTAATGAGAGGAAACTCGCGTCAAGCCTTCCAATTTATTTAACACATAAAATTTATATGCATCAACAAAATTCAATTAAGTGTTTAACTTTACTGTTTTCGACATTAACTTTGCTCTTATTAACGTTTTCAAATTCGATCTTAATGGAGAAACGAGACTACTCGTAAGTATTCGCTGGCGTTTTCAGACTTCGTGGCTCGCGTGCGGGGTCCCGAGCTGCGTGGTACGTTGGACCGAAATTATCAGGAATTAAATGCCATTAAATTTACGATTGCTCGCCGACAATTACCGGTTCGTACGAAGACGAGGAAAAAGAGACGCGCGCCGTTACTTCGCGCCGGTTACCCTCTTGGTAGCGGTAATAACAGGGGAGGGCCTGAAATTGTGGTTTCACCCGATACACTTCCCCCTGTTTTCTCGATAGCTCGCGTCGCTTCGAAATTTATTGGCCGCATCGATCACGAAACATCCTTATCAATGGACCCGTCCTTTCATTCCGCGAATAGTTTCCTCTACTTACCCATTAGGGTATCTGAAGTCGCGTAACCACGCAGTTTAAATTACGAAAACGCTTTGCACGCTCGATCGGCGCCTACCACAGAAATTCCTGTTGATTTATTTCACGAAAAACGCAGCGTTGGACTATGCAATTACCTCGGTTTTGTCTTGCGACTTACTGCAGGGAGAATCATTGCGAAATTGAGCGGCGGCGGCGGAACAAGATGACCGCCTACATCACCGAATTGTCCGACATGGTGCCGACTTGCTCAGCCCTCGCGAGGAAACCGGACAAATTGACCATTCTCAGGATGGCCGTCGCCCATATGAGGAACCTCAGAGGTGAGTCCCTCTCCGTGACTCCTTGTTACGCAAATTAATTGTAATTAAACTGCGGATTTTTGTGCGAAGTCGAACGTTTATCATTTTACATAGACATTCCTTTGGTACACAACAATTATTTATATACTTTCTATGAGATCCACAGTGTAATTACTTCGCAGATTTATTTGATGGTTCATTTTGCACTTTCATATGTATCAACGTAGTAAGTTGCACGAAGCGTAATTTAATCGTCCGAGGCAAGGCTTGAAGATCGCGTTGCCGAAGTTATTTCGTTGCTCGTGCCGACTAACTTAAACATTGTCGATGCTTAATCGTCACGTCTCGCATTGAACTACTTAACTTATCGGCGACAAACGTTGAAAATAATTTGTTTCGCTCGAGCTTCGACTCCAGTTTTCGATGAACGCAGTCCCTCAGATTTTGAGCGAACCAGAAGCTCATGGAGAGAGTAGGCTTCTCTCGTCTGTTTCTTTGAAGAATTGATCCAAGCAGCACCGGAACGGTAATTCAACGATGGGTCATATCGAATGCATGCAGCGCGATATATGCTTCCGGTGCAAGACTGGGTGGAGTTGCCCTGCGTCGGCTCCGTGTCCCTTTAGCCCCGGCGTGCACACACGCACGCACGACCTCTCCTCGCCCCCTGTCTCTCTCTATCTCGGCTTCTCTTCCTCTCGCAGTGAATCGGTGTGCGTGCCGTGATTCCCAGCTAAGTATTGGTGGTGCGTCGCATTGTTTATAGCCACTTCTCCTCTTTCCCGACAACAGGGCCGCTGAATACAAATTGCTCGAACCCGGGAAGCTCGTCTCTCTTTCTCCCGTCTCGAGCACGCTCGTCCGTCGGTTTTTACCTGTGCCGACGAGAGGAGAAAGGCGGGAGGAGCCTCCGGGATACGTTCACGCACCCACCCCCTCTGCACTTTTCCCCGAACTTCTCTTTTTCTCTCTTTTGATTTCGTTGTGGTGTGACGAATTGATTCGAGGCGACCGATGGAATTAAAGGGGTGATTGGCTTTTCTCAGATCTTTCGATGCAGGATCGTTTCTCCGAATCGCTTTCGATCGTATCGACTTCCGGCGTCCCTACGGTGTTCTCCGATTGTCTTCCACGGTATGAGAATAAAATTTCAATGAAACCTTGAAATTCTCGTTTCGTCTTCTTCATTCATAGGCCATAGCCATTCAGGTCGCATTACCACACGCGGCGACCCATATAACGAATAAATCCGTCGATCTTCTAGTACTCAAAAACTCTTTCTCTCGCCAGAAACAGACGGTTATCTCCGCGCGAGATATAAATCTCGATATCTTCAGCCGATGATTTAGCAGCGCACTAAAAACAGTCGCGCGACGCATGTAAAGTCGAGATGGAAACCGTGGCAAGAGCGCCTCGGGCACCGGAACAACATCTTTCACCGGAGATAGAGGGTAGCGTCTTGTTTCGATGTCGAGGAGCCGAGAATCGCGCCGGCATTAATGTCCATCGAGAGACGTTCCACTACGTGGAAGGTAATGGTAACGAAGGTCACCCGGGGTCTTCCATAGATCTTGTTTGGAAGTCGTTAAAGTACCTCTTCCCGGAATTTCTCCGTATATCGGGGTAAAGATCGCATCGCGACCCTCTCTTTCTCTCCTCTTCGCCTCTCGCTGAAGCGGGATCCTGTCCGCTTTGCAATTCCGATCTTGCACCTCGATAGTTACCTACGCTGCCGAGCTGCCCCGTCCTCATTTTTGGTACCACGGTTCCTCCGTCGCTCCCCTTGTTAAATAATATATTTTTACGGATTCGAATATTCGTAATCCTTCGTGGATTAATCGCAGAGTGTTGCGTCTCCCTCATGACTTATGTAGAAAAATCGTATGTATCGAAGGAAAATAAAGACACGACGAAAATGTAAAGGAGCCAATCATATAATTAACATGATCGTTGAAAAACCGATGAAGAGAGGAATTTCGTACCAGGAACAGGCAACACCAGTTCGGACGGCACGTACAAACCCTCGTTTCTGACCGATCAAGAACTGAAGCACCTGATCCTGGAAGCAGCCGACGGTTTCCTGTTCGTCGTCAGCTGCAATACCGGAAGGATCATCTACGTATCCGATTCCGTAGCGCCCGTTCTAAACTATACGCAGAACGATTGGTACGGGACCAGTCTTTACTCTCAGGTCCATCCGGACGACACCGAGAAGGTGAGGGAACAGTTGAGCGGGGCCGAACCTGAAAACGGTGGCAGGGTGCTGGACTTAAAGACGGGGACCGTGAAGAGAGAAGGACAATGTAAGGATCAATTTTGCACATTTCCACGTTCCGTGTCTCATTTGTTTGTGTATCGTATGTGACCACTAGGGTGATAATAATGAAATGAAATCTGATTTGATCGTAACAGCATCGATGAGACTGTGTATGGGCTCGAGGCGAGGTTTCATCTGTCGAATGAAGGTGGGTAACATGCAGACGACTGGCGACATGGCTGCCGCCCATGGTCTTCACCATGTGAAGCAGAGGAACTCGCTGGGTCCGCCGGCTCGCGACGGACAGAATTACGCGGTGGTTCATTGTACGGGGTACATCAAGAACTGGCCCCCGAACGGTGAGTATGCGGTACCGGGTTTCCAATGAGATCGCTTGATTTTCGTTGGCAACTGTGCGCTCGTCAACGGGTATAACGGGTCCGGTGTTTAATGGCCGCGCGCGAGACGTAGCGCCAACTTTCTATTTTAAAGCGAGGGAGACGTCGGTGTGTGCAACAGGAATATGAACGAACCCGACTTCGTAGAATACCACGAAGATAGTTGACGTTTGTACTATAAATTAACGATAGGCCTCTGGTGGCGCAGACACGGGCAGGGTATGATCGGTTTATAAAGAATGAATGGAATCGTGTTGACCTAACAGCCGGCGAATCGGCTGGAATACCGATAAACTATGTCGAGACGCGCGGGGACCGATGCGAAATTCGTATGCCTTATCGTCGCGACCCCCGATGCATAATAACGGACCTTCTTCTCGCGCGCTTCCGCCTTCGTTTCCTTAATCATTTTCTTTCTTACGCCCGAACCGCAAGTTGGATAAAAGCTGATTACAATCATAAATTATTTTTAAGTATCGTGTCGGAGTAAATCTAAATTTTATCCAACTTGTATCATAGATTCGATTACGTTTTGTCTAGCATGTAAATCATAATCGTCGATTATGAGGAATCATGGACTGACTCATCATTTTACGCTGTAGGTGATTTTGTTCCCCCGTGTGTACCAGGTGTGGGTTTAGCTGACAGAGAAGCCGCTGGCGTTCAAGTTGGACCCGACGGCGTAGCGTCAGAAGATAGTGTCAGCACCCACTGCTGCCTAGTTGCCATTGGGCGATTACAGGTCACTAGCACACCAAATAGTAGCGATTTAACTGGTTCCAATAGCAATAACGGTAAACGGATTTAACCACATATTTAATTCGTCTGGCGTACGCAGTGGCGATTAACTCGTTGTCTTTCTTTAGAATTTATTTCGCGTCATTCGGCAGACGGTAAGTTTACTTTCGTGGACCAAAGAGTCGGCGGGATTCTAGGATACACGCCTTCGGAGCTGTTGGGTCACCCGTGCTACGAATTCTTTCACCAGGAAGACTTGTCGCACATGCGAGACAGTTTCGAGCAAGGTACAGCTTTTGAGATCGAATGAAAATAACTTATACATTTGTGTCTTTTTTCTAACGAACTCTGATAATCGCAGTGTTGAAGTTGAAGGGACAACCGGTGCCTATGATGTACAGATTTCGAACCAAAAATCGTGACTGGGTGTGGTTGAGGACGTCCGCGTTTGCATTTTTGAACCCGTTTAGCAATGACATCGAATACATCGTCTGCACGAACACGCACACCAAGTATGAATAAGATTTTTATTTCTTGCGATCGCGGTACAGTGAATAGAGACATCCTTATTTTAATATTTAAGATCCTTCCATCCCGGTAGCGAGGCTCAAACAGAGAACGAGGCTGTGTCGGCGTACGTGCAACCCGGCCTGGATTATTCTCTACAGAGACATCCCACCAGGGATCCGCTGTACTCGGGGCATCACATGATGCAACACCCGGCAAATGTCGCCACAGCAGGTACGTCGGTCGTACTTATACAAGTTCATCTTTCGTTTGACTTACGAATAAATTTGTTAGGTCCCCAACAGCCTAGGCCGTCCAGTACGCAAAACGTCTATCAGGGATACGAGACGACGCAGTCGCCTATAGCTTACGGTTCGCCTGGTCAACAAAGCGCATCTTCTTCTGTTTTAAGTAGAATACAAAAACCAGCTAATACTTCGCCAACTCCGGTCCAACAAGCATGGGCCATTGGAAGACAGGTGACATACCGTGATCCGCTTCGATCCTCTTTGGAAGGAAATTGTAAAGAGATGATTAACTTGGATTTTTCTATCTCAGCAACCGGTGACCGAAGGATATCAGTACAATCAGTTGAGCCCATCGAGGTCTCCGAACGGACCGACTTATACTCAGTTAAGCAGTGGTGCTAGGACACCGGCTTCGCAATACCACGCGGTCACGACTGTACCTAACAATCCAGGTAAGCTTTCGATTGTCTTAGGTCGATCGGGACGAGCGGAGGAATGCATAACCGTTTTTTTACAGGTATGTGGGGATGGCAGAGTCAGCAGCATCAAGCGCCGCAGCAGGATAGCGGGCAGCCGAACCCCCAGGTGGCTGGTCAAGCGCAGCCGCCGCATCCTTCTCAGGGTGGCACGCAGCCTCAGGAATTGTCAGACATGTTACAGATGCTGCAGGACCAGGGTGGTGCGTCCGGTTTCGAGGAGTTGAACATGTTCAACACTAATTTCGAGTAGCGACAAGGAAACAGTGACATGACCGACGGACATTTACCTTAATAAAGCTTTAAGGTTCGAGTTTCACCGATCAGCGCCCGGGGACATTCCCGAGCTATCCGCGCACTTCTACTATCGCATTTTATTACGATAACTGAGTTCGCCAGTTAGCACCTCTCACCGCGTGAACTTTTACCAAATCGTCGACTTATAATTAATTAACATAGATTCAGCCTAATCGTCGTCGCGTCGCTAACGTTTTCCGTTACCGCGATTGATTTATGTACGATTTTAATTATCGTACCCATGGATCGCGCAGATTATTCGAAATTCGTGTGAACATCGGTTTGGGAAAGTGCCATTAGCCATGTTTCGGAAATAAAGAATCGTGGAAAACGAGAACTTATAATACGCACAGATGGATCGGTCGGCTTAGGATGCGCTTTTTGACAAGATAAGAAATATGACATGACAAGTAAAAATCGTTGTTCTTAAGCATTTTCTCGTTTTTATTTTTTTTTACTATTTCGCTTCTTAAAAAAAGAAAAACGCAACTGTAGCGTAAGTTTAATTCGAATTGTACATGAGGTTTCGAGAAAAACGGGCCTAGAGTTTCATTGAGCTGTTGTTAAATGGATGTAAGTATGTGTATAAAATTCTCGATAGAAAAAAAATGCGTGTAAGATTTGTAATTGTTCGAGAGAGGGAGAGAAAGACATAGCTTCGTTCAAAACGAACTTTGATAATTGAAGTTTCAGAAGGACACGGACTGCATGTAACTTGTACGATTACTGTCACTTTACATTTTTATAGAATTTTAACGCAACATCTGTGCTTATTGATAAGTGTGGGAAGTAATCTCTCTTTTAAACGGTAGCGATTTTAATTCGGTCGAAAACAATATAACGCGCTTTCAACGAACGTTCAAGGGGGTTGCATTCTAAGCGATAAGAAGATACAAAAAATAAAATAAAGTATTTTTAAAAAGTTCTCAATCAAACGAACACAAATCATCGTGGTAATTTTAATACAAGCTTATCGTTAGATTCCTAAGATTAGCTTAATTATTTTAATTTAGATCTTTGTAATTATAAATAGTGCAATCGTCAAAAGTTGACGCCAGACGGGGAATAAGATTTAAACTCGACACGACAGCAATGATGTACAAAAACTAATTATATGTAATCCACTTTGCTTCTCTGTGCGAACGAAAAAGAAATACACACACACCATTTTTAGATATTTCTAAAGAAAAATATAGATAATGTTACGCATACAAAAACGTAATTGCATTTATAAGTAACCACGTGTGATTTAGTGCATTGTAGATGTACATGTCTAGCAAATTCTTATTAAATAGGATCGAAGAGGAGGAAAAAAAGTTGCAGCATATCATGATGAATTGGGAACATTTGTCACTAATATATATAAAAGTTTACATTACACGTATAATTCTTTTTAATCATCCTACGTTGGAAGTAGCTACGATTACTGACAATAATTAACATATTGAGGTCATCGGAGGCGTCAATATGTATAACGCAAATGATTGATTAAAGTTCGAAACGTATCTTTGAAGCATTTTATGATATCCTTTCTCCTTAGTCGTTTCAAATTATTTCCCCCTTCATCTTTTTAAGAATTACAGCTTGGCTGAAACAATTATTGCATTATATTTAAATAATAACTGTACAAAAAGTTACAATTTCAATTTAACCGCGGATAGAGCGTTTTTCTCTTTTTTCTTCTTATTCGCGCCAGTCTTAGCTTTGATATGGCTCTTCACTTCGTCTTGTAATTGATTAAAGAACGCCGTGGACGATTTCGGCGCTTTGAAGCTCGATTCATCCATCTGAATGATATTTCTGTTTTTACTCAATTTTTTCGCCATTTCCGCCGCTTTCTCCTTTTTGTGCTTCTTCGCGACTCCCGGTTTCAACGCGTTCAATTTCTCCTTATTCTCTCGAGCCTGCTGTCTCGCGCGTTGCTTCATCTTCTTGTGCCTTCGTTCCCGCTTCATATCTGTCTTGGTCCTCTCGGCTTTACCTATCGGATCGCCCCGCGATTTCGCTTTAATCTCCTCCGGTGCCAACAGGGCAGCGTCGCTCATTCCCACAGGTGCCACCTCTTCCATATTAATTGCAGGAAGGTTGGTGACGACTTTCAGCTCCGGTTTAGCTAGCTTTGGTGTGTAATGGAAGTTGGAAAACGCGTCTAGCTTCTTAAACACGGAACCCATCATTTGGCGAATTTCTTTGTGCAATGTCGGTTCTTCCTCTACCGTCTCATTATCCGGGTTTAACGCTTGCTTCTGTTTAAGATATTCCTTCTCGTAAATTTGGGACAAACTCTCCTTGCTCTTCTCTTGATCCAGGATCAGTTTCTTCTTGTACTCCATCGGTGTCTCGACTGGTTTGAATTTTTTCTCTACATCGTCCCAAACTCTGTCCTTTATCCTCCGTTTAATTATATCCTCCAATCTCAAAGTCGTTTGCTCGGTAATAACGGGCGGAGGTCTGGTCGTTATATCGAACTCCACGAATTCCTCCAGTAACGAATTCTGTGGTCTGTTCCCTCCAGTCACTTCACCTTTCAGTTGCCATGGTTTTTCTGCGAGGGCTTCTTCCTCCAATTTTTCTATCCTTTTCTTCAGTCTCTCCTGTCGCGTTTCTAAAGTCGACTTAACTTCCGTGTCCTGCTTGGCAGTCGTGTTTCGATTTTCCAGACTATCCGTTTCATCTGAATCATTGGTAAGATTGAACGTGACTTTCTTCTTGGATTTATGAGTTTCTCCTTCGCTGTCTATGTCCATTTCATTATTTAAATCACTGCCGTCCAGTGATTCATTATCTGCTGATTCGTCGCCTGCTTCTGCCATGGAGCTGTTCGGATTCTCATCTTCGCTCTGAGGACTGTCGAAGAAGTCTGCGTACTTCATCAATTTACCTTCTTCAGTTTTGTCATCGTCATCAGAAAGATCGTTGAACAGATCCACGGATTCATCATCAGATTCTAATTCATTCTTTTCATTTTGCGTCTCTTTCCTCTCTTCTTTTGTTAAGTATTCATCCAATTCATCTAATTTAAAGAATTTGTCATCTACTATAGATGATTTCTTTTTCCTTCGTTTAACTTCTGGTTTCTCTTTTCTTAAGTTATCTGTTGAACTCTCCTCGTCTTCAGACAGAGTCTCTTCTGTCGCTCTTTCATCTTCCGATAACTCCTTTTCACTCTCTTCTTCTTCGGACTCGGGTTTAGTCGCACTAATTGGTATCGTCAGCCTTTTGCTCTCCGATAAAGCTTTCGAAACACACCTAACTAGATAATCGAATTCACCTTCGTTTTGCAATTCAATTTGCTGCCAGATCTGTTCTTCGTCGAAATCCTCGGTAACCAGCTCTGGCAAAGCGTTCGTGTTTCTCTGCGACTCTTCCTTCGTAAAATCATATAAATGCTTTATACAATTCTTAAAATTTCGAGCTACTGTGTTTTGCACGCTGTAAAGAAAAATTCAACTTGCTTTCAATATTCCACAATGGAATTGTTTAGGAGAGAGTAACAGTATAAAGTATTTACCTTAGAAACTGTTCCGGTTTCTTGGTATTATCGTCAATCGTCTGAATAACACGATTAAACATTTCTACTTCTGCCATTCTGTACATACATTTATTTATCGTTTACAAAACGTTTTATAAATAAATAGAGGCTATGTTTCCCATATGAACTGTAAGCGTCGTCACGCCATCACAGTATACGTGACGCCATGCTGTGGCTGTGACCACTGTGACTGTATGAATACCAATTGATAGAGATTTTCAATTTCTTCGTTCGATACATTATCATTCGCAGGTATTTATATACCTTAATTTATTATTATAAAAAAATTTTTCGTCAGCGTCAATACTTAATTGGATATTTCCTTCTATACTTTTTAGCACATACTTATTTATTATTAGCATTATTCTTCCGACGTCTGATTTCTTTTTAATTATAGGA